CAAAACGACGTCGTTTTGGCAATTTTGAGCCATTTGAGCCACAAAAATTGTGGCCCTCTACCATTGCCCTTGAATTTTTTTGTTTAAAGAAACAAATTTGAGTCATTCATTTTCTTGCGGGTGATGTGGCTCTATCAAGCCATCTCCCGCAGGAACAATTGGAGAGAGAGGCTGGAGAGGTTTTGGACTCGTCTCAAGGTAACTTGTATCCCCATCGTTTCCAATTGGTTGGAAATTTGATAATTGAAACCCTAGATGCTTGCTTTTCTATGTTTTGATCGTTTCTCTCGTAATGAATTTCGTCTTCTTTATGCTAATTTGATTTAAAATTTGAGAGAGTTGAAGCTTTAATTTGAAATTATTAGCTGTTGTTTGGAAATTATCTAATTGATTTCTCATATTTCAGACGGATTTAACACTATAAATCCTAGTCAGAACACACTACTATTTTTTATTTTTCTGATTTCACTACAAATTTTAGACAAGATACTACTGTTAATTGTATGTAGTAGTTTGGTCTTGTTGTATAGTACCAGATAGTATTTCTGATGAAAAAATAATTTGATAAAAAAGAGATTTATTTTTTTTTTTAATTTTGAAAATCAAGAAACAACAATCCGACATCTTTAGTCCTCGTTTGGCAAGTGAGGGTTTAGGTTGGGATTAAAAAGGTACAAAAAGACAAAATAAGCAAAATAAGTCAATAAGATAAAATGTCATATCAAACCTATAATTATTTTACTTTTTCTCTCATAAAAAAACTAAAAAGTTCTTCCCAAGTAGAACTAATTTAGCCCGGCTAAATTAACCAAAAATTCAAAAAGTCAGGCTAAAAAAATTCTTCCCAAACGAACCCTTAATAAACCAACCAAACCATTGAGAGTAGTAGACCTCAGTGAATTGATTTGAAGAGTCTATGAAAATGATGTTCGGCCACAACACCTCTTGCTCTTGAGTGATTGCCTTTGTCATTTTACTTCAAAGATTCCTTGGCGGCAACAATGATTTGGAGTTGATGAAGTTTTATCTTCCAAAAGTGCATACCACCTTAGCTAGGTTGTTACTTTTTTAGTGTTAATAACTAACAATTAATCATGGTGCTTAAAATTAATAACAAGAGAAAGGACATAGTGATCATTCAATCACACATTGGTCCTACTGCATTGCATTTAATATCAAAGGCTTATTCAAGAACCTAATTAAAGTCTTCATTCTGTTTTTAAAATTCTTGTCCCTCTGTTCCCAACACAGTCTTAGGCACACACGTGATATGAATTTTTTTTAAAAATATGAGGATCTTAAGATACAATTGTACGATTGACAGTACACTAAAAATGAAATGACAAAGATTTTACGACAGATGGTGCTGTGCCCACTACTTAAAGTTTCTAGCTACAAGGCAAAGGTTCTTGTCAAAGTTTGTTGTAGGAATTTTGGTCCCTTTGTTCTCATTGCACTTTTAGATGCACATTATAATGAAAATTTCAAAGTACGAGAATCTCAAGATATAATTATACAACTAAGAGTATATTAGAACAAAGATGATTGAAATTTTAGGATAGATGATCATAAGTTGTGCCCACTAATCATAGCTACAAGCTACATGGCATTTTTTACTCATGCAAGTTTATTTTAGGAATATCTAATAGAGGGATCCTTTATTCCAAAATTTCTATCTCTCTGTTCCCAGTATACTTTTAGCTGCATGATATGTAGTGAGAATCTTGAAACACAAAAGTAGGCACCATTATACATAATTGATAGTGCATCAGGAGCAAAAAGAAACTGATTTTGAGATGGAGAATTCTCGTACCTATTAATTATAGTTTCTAGCTACGAGGCAAAGTGCATTTTTCGTGTGCATTGTTAAACCAGGTATAACCTCAGTGTCTATGTCCTCTTTCTTCTTCCCAACAGGCAATTCTCAGTCAAATGAATAGAGAAGATTAGCTAGTGCAAGCTCCACTGTCACAACACCCAGGTATAACCTCAGTGTTAATGATGTTATGGTATGTGATACTACTTTATCTATGGACTTTTAATATGATTTATATTTATATTGGAGGCTAATTATTGAATTCAAACTTGCAGACTCAAATGAATGAGTTAACGGAGCACATGGAGGGATCTTCTATTTATACTTTGCTACTAAAGAATTTGTTTTGCTCACTCTACTTTTATCATGGATCATGCAGATGAAGTGAATCAATCCATCATCATATGGTTAGTTGAACTGTCTTATGGATTTGTTGAACTGTTTTATGGGAAACTCTGGATTTTAAACTATTAACTCAAGGGGTTTTAAGTTTATCTGGCACCATGATTGAGAGTATTTAAAAATGTAAAATAAAAGCTGTATGGCACCACTAGGGTGATAGGGCAATAAATCCACGGGAATAATGGAGCTGGGAATATTTATATTCCTTGAGTTTGTTTAGATTGGAGATATTCTTGTCATTGCTGAAATTGACAATAAAGTGTCAATATTTTGGGAGGGAGATGGGTACTAATGTTTGGCTTGCTTAATTTTGCAAAAGCCTATGTTTGTTTCAATGTGACACTTCTATGGAAGAGCTTTGCCAATAAGTAACTGGATTTGAAGTCTAGAGAATAATTTTAGGTGTTTGAGAAGTTCATTGAATAAACCTACGAGGTAATCCCCAAGTCTAATTTGAGATATTTTTCTAGGTGAATGGAGCATAAGTTTGGAGGCTGTTCCAGCAAAGAACTAGTTCTTTGAAACTTGAGTATGTCCTGATTGGGAGGTTGGGCAGATATGTAAAGGAGTATAGCAATCGTGTGCATGAACATAGAGCATAAGTATGCTAGTAGAGTTGGTTTACAATTATGACATTCTTTATTTTGTTGCACCTGGGGAGCTTGTTAATTCACAATAAATAGTTCTTTATATGTTGACAATAGTTTGAAAATTGAAACAAAACAGTGTCACTGAGGATAAAAATTCTCTTGACAATGGCTTCTTTATATTCAAATTAAAAATGAAGCAGATATGGGGAAAATCCTTGAAATTGGGCCATTTTATTTTGGAAGTAGTCTAATTTTAGTGCGAAGATGGCAGTTGTACATGCATTTGACTAAGAGTGAATTCTCTTTTGTGCACATTCCGATGAAATAATGAAATTTCTTACTGTTTTTTCAATTGTGATGTCTAATATGTTATAGCAAGGTCTTAAATTTGAAGGAGTGGGTATTTTAGGATTATGGGTGTTGACCTGTAGGTAATATATCCTTACATATTTGCCACACTAGCATGAGCTTTGCTTTGACAAATATGACGATGATTTGACTCAGAAATTGATTGAATTTTATTTTGTGTCAACATTAATTAGAGAATTGTGTCAAGATGCGAAGCTACTGCCTTGCAACGTCAATTTCAAGCTATAAAGTTACTGCCTTCCAATGCTAATGATTTCATCGTTATTAATCATTGATTATGCCTATCAAGAAAAAAACTTTAACCATGAGAATCTCTTGGTTGAGAATTTTTATTTTAAAATTTTTTCTTTGTGCTATTATATTGCACTGCTCAAATGCTTTAATCTTGTGATGATTTGATTATGAATCGGGAAATATATGATGCCCATTAAGTCCATACCTTTCCATGAAATCATCTTCTTTAAGAATGTCGACAAACTTCAAGCAGTAAGTATTTTTGTAATACTGAAACTAAGAAATAGAAATCAAATGGAAAATGTTCACTGACTACTTATTGTTGTTAAGATAGTGCAAAATTTTGCCACTATAGCTTCATTTTTTTTTTTAAATTGTGCTAATTTTGTGAGATTTAACCCAAAAAAAAAAAAAAACCTATAATAAAGATGAAAAATATTCAATATATTGACTAAATTTAGATAACACAATACTGGATCAATTCATGCTTTTCAATATGCAAAAATATTTCAATTCCAAGATGAAATAAAGTTAAACTAGTGCCTAAAGTTAAACTAGTGCCTAGTTGTAAGTTGAAAGTTATTACAAAACAAATCGGCACAAAAGATGCAATTCAAACTAATTATATATACAAATACTATCAAAGCATCTACCAAGAAACAAAAATTCCCGGGTTTTTCTGTTGATGCAATCAAAGAAATGTCTAAAATATCATTGGAAAAATAAAATGAAATCTGATGTGCACTCTTCAATTCAATCATGAGCCGCCAAAACCGATGCTGAAACTCTTTTCAATGATTCAGAGGCCTTGCGCAGATCAGATTCAGAAAATGGAATGCTGCAGGGAATAAAAGTTACATCAGAATTATATGTGAAAGGTGAAATCAACACAGTCTTCTACTTACCAGATAACCAAGATGCTCAAAATCTAGCCAAAAATCTTCTGGGTCATAACAAATACCTGCCTCAAGCTTAGGCCTCTTAATAAGTTCAGAAATTTCATGAGCAATTGAAGATTAACGAACAGATAAGCCCATTGCAGGTGCAAGATGTGATGTCCCAAAGATAAAAATTTAAAACTAAGAATTAAAAGTCATGATATGCTGTTGTGTTATCTAAAGAGAAGCTAGTTTCAGGAGTAAAAATTCAAGTTGAGGTAAGTGTAATTAGACAAAGCCAACTAGTTCAGTTTGCTTCCATGAATTTTATTTTCCTAGAGTTTCAATAAGCAATGCAACATCATACATAAGATTCAGAATTCAGATTTCTTTTGTTCTGCTCAGTAGTTCTCACATCTTAAATGGCCACTTAAAGAAAAGATTACAAAGCAAAGATTTTATTAAAGATTAATAAAATAGCAAGTACCATCTATAAATAGCAAGTACCATCTATATTGCATTATTTACAAGAAAGAAAGAAAGAAAAACAAAATCAATTTGCAAATCATATCAAGTTTGTCACTGAACACATCATTACTCTATGAGTTCTGTTTTGACATTAAGAGTAACTTTTTTGCTTCTTGCTCTATTCATAGTGTTGCAGTAAATTTATCCTTATTCACGACAGCATGTGCTCGTAGCAAAATATGAAGTAAAATATGAAAACTCCAACTATACAGAACAAATAAGCAAAGGACAAGAAGATACCTTAGCCACTTCCAGAAATGACAAGACCTACGAGTCTTTTGACTTCTGCGAGAATTACAATAAAACTATCAATGAAATTTTTCCCGTTAAAAAATAAATAAAGAAATAAAAATTAACCCAAAGGACAAAAAGATATGGAGAGGAAGACAAGACAGTCCGGTTACACCACCACCATCACCGTTACAATAAAACTACTTACACTTTATATCAAAATATAATATAGAAATCAATAGAACCTATCAACTCATATGTAGCTTCTTAAATGACTTGTGTAGTTACCAAAATTTTGCACTATCTTAACAACAATAAGTAGTCAGTGAACATTTTCCATTTGATTTCTATTTCTTAGTTTCAGTATTACAAAAATACTTACTGCTTGAAGTTTGACGACGTTCTTAAAGCAGATGATTTCAAGGAAAGGTATGGACTTAATGGGCATCATATATTTCCCGATTCATAATCAAATCATCACAAGATTAAAGCATTTGAGCAATGCAATATAATAGCACAAAGAAAAAATTTTAAAATAAAAATTCTCAACCAAGAGATTCTCATGGTTAAAGTTTTTTTCTTGATAGACATAATCAATGATTAATAACGATGAAATCATTAGCATTGGAAGGCAGTAACTTTATAGCTTGAAATTGACGTTGCAAGGCAGTAGCTTCGCATCTTGACACAATTCTCTAATTAATGTTGACACAAAATAAAATTCAAACAATTTCTGAGTCAAATCATCGTCATATTTGTCAAAGCAAAGCTCATGCTAGTGTGGCAAATATGTAAGGATATATTACCTACAGGTCAACACCCATAATCTTAAAATACCCACTCCTTCAAATTTAAGACCTTACTATAACATATTAGACATCACAATTGAAAAAACAGTAAGAAATTTCATTATTTCATCGGAATGTGCACTAAAGAGAATTCACTCTTAGTCAAATGCATGTACAACTGCCATCTTCTCACTTAAATTAGTCTACTTCCAAAATAAAATGGCCCAATTCATATCACGTGTGTGCCTAAGACTGTGTTGGGAATAGAGGGACAAGAATTTTAAAAACAGAATGAAGACTTTAATTAGGTTCTTGAATAAGCCTTTGATATTAAATGCAATGCAGTAGGACCAATGTGTGCTTGAATGATCACTATGTCCTCTCTCTTTTTATTAATTTTAAGCACCATGATTAATTGTTAGTTATTAACACTAAAAAAGTAACAACCTAGCTAAGGTGGTATGCACACTGCTGAAAAATTCACTTTTAGTGTACTGTCAATCCTGCACATGTGTGTTTGATGTATAGCCAAAATTGCTTTCACAGAATATTCATAATAGCAAGAATTCAAAAATGTATGCTCACCAGGCAGATTTTGAAATCTATGGAGTGGAAAATCAGAGAAAAACCGTCATGTCAACATATTTTCCAGCGATGGTTCTAGCTGTTACCAGTCCAGCTGCCAAAGCAGCACCGAATAAAGCATGCAATCTCACACAGTAATACTTTGCCATAAAGATCTTCATTTTGTCCTATAAGAATGAAGTCTCAACACCACAATAGAGAACTAATCCAATTTAGCTATAAAAAGAGTAACAACTAGGGTTCATAACCATCCAATCTGTAATTCTACTGTAAAATTGAAGCTCAAAATGTTACTTACTACTCACCTTGTGGTTCTGCTCAACGTAGTTGACGACTAGTTTTCCAACGGGCAAGGTTAGGGCACATCTCCATTACTTCATTCATCTTCGACTCAAACTGCATTTGATACCGTTGAAGTTGCTCTTGAACTTGTTCTTGAACTTGAGTTTGGAAGAGACGATTCTGCTCTTGTGACCGCCTATATCCACCTCCAAAAACATCAGTGGGTGACGGTCCCAATCCAAACGTCCGAACACGACCAGGTCGCTCTGGGCCCATAATTTGTGTGAAGATTTGCTCCTGTAATGCTGCAGGGTCAGTAGAAGATCCCTCCATGTGCTCTGCTAACTCATTCATTTGAGTCTGCAAGTTTGAATTCAATAATTAGCCTCCAATATAAATATAAATCATATTAAAAGTCCATAGATAAAGTAGTATCACATACCATAACATCATTAACACTGAGGTTATACCTGGGTGTTGTGACAGTGGAGCTTGCACTAGCTAATCTTCTCTATTCATTTTAAAAACAGAATGAAGACTTTAATTAGGTTCTTGAATAAGCCTTTGATATTAAATGCAATGCAGTAGGACTAATGTGTGCTTGAATGATCACTATGTCCTCTCTTTTTTTATTAATTTTAAGCACCATGATTAATTGTTAGTTATTAACACTAAAAAAAGAAACAACCTAGCTAAGGTGGTATGCACACTGCTGAAAAATTCACTTTTAGTGTACTGTCAATCGTGCACATGTGTGTTTGATGTATAGCCAAAATTGCTTTCACAGAATACTCATAATAGCAAGAATTCAAAAATGTATGCTCACCAGACAGATTCTATGAAGTGGCAAATCAGAGAAAAACTGTCATGTCAACATATTTTCCAGCGATGGTTCTGGCTGCTACCAGTCCAGCTACCGAAGCAGCACCGAATAAAGCATTCAATCTCACATAGTAATACTTTGCCATAAAGATCTTCATTTTTTCCTATAAGAATGAAGTCTCAATACCATAATAGAAAACTAATCCAATTCAGCTATAAAAAGAGTAACAACTAGGATTCATAACCATCCAATTTGTAATTCTA